CACCAACCAAATGCCACCAAACAATTGCCACCAATTGCCACCAACCACTTGCCACCAACCAATTGTCACCAACCAATTGCGACCAACCAATTGCCACCAACCAATTGCCACCAACCAATTGCCACCAACCAACTGCCACCAACCAATTGCCACCAACCAATTGCCACCAACCAATTGCCACCATTTTTTCACCAACCAATTGCCACCAACCAATTGCCACTAACCAATTGCCACCAACCGATTGCCACCCACCGATTGCCACCCACCAAGTGTCACCAACCAATTGTCACCACCAACTGTCACCAACCAATTGTCACCAACAAACTTGCACCAACCCAATTGCTACCAACGAATTGTCACCCACCAATTGCTACCACCAATTGTCACCGGGTCGGATGTCCGCCCTGGTGCTCGCTGGTTGTCGTGGGTCGCCGCCGCTGTGCCGCTGTGACTTCCGTGGCAGGTGCAGCACTTGGTGCTCTCCAGGGGGTGGGATGTACGCCCTGGTGCTCGCTGGTGCTCGTGGGTCGCCACCGCTGTGCCGCTGTGATTTGCGTGGCAGGCGCAGCACTTGGTGCTCTTTCAAGGTCGCCGAGAAGCGTGCCCTTGAGGAAGAGTGGGAGCATCTGACCAGGCAACTTGATGTTGTAAACAAGCGGCTGAAAAGGTTGGAGGCCTCTGACCAGTGAGGCTGGGCTCCAAGCTGAGCGATGCAGGAGGCAGTGGTTTGCCAATGTGCAAAGTGCTCTGATAGGGGCTGAAAAGTAGCTCTGCTAGCGCCCTTCTTGCTCGAGCCTGTGTTTCTTCAATCTGACGGATGCAGGAGGAAGCCGTGGTTATAGGAAAAATTGGGAGCCACTCTGCACAGTTTTTCCTGGTGTTCACTGCTAGCAAGTGCGCTTGGAGGACAATGTGCTGACGTAATGGTATTTTGCTGGGCTGTGTTTGAGAAATTGGTGGCCCTTTTGACTGCTTCTACATGGGGTGCTATGCAAACATTTTGGTTTTTGCTCAGGTGGAGTTTTGAAGCCTTGTGGACAGGTACGTGGCCTACCCATGACTTCAGATGTATTCCCGATGAGCCCAACACCCCACCAGGGGCAAAGGTGGGGAGTTGGCTGGCATGAGGGTATTTCGCTGTTTTGGTGCAGTTTTGTGGAGACCTCGATTGCTTCAGCAAGTGGTTGGGAGTGCCAGTTTCCACAAACCATGCAAAGCCATGTTGCCAATGCAAATGCATAATTGCTGGAAATGGCAGCTGGATGGACAAGCCATTGAATTCACCTTGGCAAAGCACAATCCTGACACCCAGGAATTGGAAGCAACACTGGCAGAGCACTTGCCAATTTCGACTACGCGGCATAGATGGAAATGGAAAAAATTGAAACGTAAAAATTGAAAATCTAAAGTTTGAATCGAACACCGGAAGGATGAATTTGGGTTCCTGAAAGTTTTTTGAGTCAACATTGGGTCTTGAAAACGATGACCATGTAGGAGGCATGTTCAATTGGTTTCTTATCTTCACTGGAACTTTTGGGATGGATCCCATTCAGTTTTCCTCCAGTTTCCTATGTTTTTGGTGTACTCCTCGTTGTTTCATGACAGTCTCTTGAACCGGTACATCATTCCATGCGGATCTGCCACCCTCCGATCGAGGGTGATGTGTTTGACGACGCTTTTGATGTAGGTGCCAGTAGGTCCTGTCGCAGCGGAGAAGGTCTGTGGATCCCCTCCACAAAGGGCCTAGTAAAGGGCCTATAAAGAAAAACCTGTATACTTTCGATCCTTCTAAAGGATGATAGATGATAAAGGTCCACGGAGCCTTATAAAGCCTAAAAAAGGTATAGGATATTGGTCCACGCGGTGCTCGCCTCCGGCCGGTCGCTCACACCGACGGCCAGTCGCCTCAGGTGCGCCCTTACATCGGCGATGACGAGGGCCGCTCGGGGCTTTGCTCGGAGGCGCGGCCCATCGGTTCGTGAAGCACAAAGGTGGAACCAGAGTTAACTCTGATGTCTCAGACATCAACCCAACGAAATGACATTCATCCCTTGGAACTGGTCACGATAAAATGGGCAGTTCATTGAAGTTGCATTGACTTCAAAGTTCATGTTATGGTTCCATGTTCGGGTGGTTGGTGCAGGGTAGGTAGGGTTGTCCATTCTCTTTGTTGGGACCGTTGTTGTAGGTGCATTCTATGAAAGTTGATGATTGCAAACCGATGATTCATTCAGTCGTATTTGTTTTTCAACCGAAACACAGGTGAAACACCAGAACAAATAAAATCCCATCTCTGCAGAGGGCTGAGAGGGTTGGATCTCATCCAGTTCCTTTCGGTTGTTGAACATTTTACACCTTTTCCAGGTCACCACTTACTCGGAGGTTTGAGACACGGACAACTTACTTTAAAAAGCATCCAACAACTAAAAGGCGGCATCTTCAGACCCAGCCAAGGTGAAGTAGTAAACTATGGCACAATATGTCACATGTTCTTTGAATAACCAAACCCGGCATCTACCTGCCAACAGTAGGCCACCTTGAGCCCAAAACATCCCAAAACACCCCTCACCCCTCCGCTCGCTCTCCGCTCCGCGTCCTCAGCAATCGAGCTTGGGCTCCGGCACCTTCGCAGACCTTTTTGGCTGCGCTGACCTTTGCCACTTGGGAAGGGGGGAGTTTTCACACGACAAAACGAGCTGCCAAAGACTGGGGCCCGGGACGAGACTGCCATTTTGGGGGAAGTGAGTTGAGACCGGTTGGGGTTCCGGGGGCATTTGCAGACTGCCAGAGTCTGGAGAGCATTCTGGTCTATGGTGGTCAAACTTTTAGTTTGGATGTTCGGATGCGATGATCAGAACAACTCATGTCGCTCCTCCATGAAATCCGGAGGATTGAGCCACATATGCACTCAACCGCGTGGCTAGTCTTTTGATTCGAATCTATTCTGAGGATTTCTGGAAGGTTGTAAGAGTTAGTGGAAAAAAACATATGCATGATTTCCAACAAAGGCCCGAACATCCTTTTTTCTGAAAACACACTTCAGCATTCGTCCATTGGAACTGATGGCTGAGGTCGGCAAACCGCACGGTGTAGCTTTCTCACATACTGGAAGGTCTCTCAAGAGTGTCGCATCTACAAGGTGCCTTGGACTTCGTCGTCGTGTGCGTGAGGGGCCCGCTCTTGCCGTGCGGGGCGGTTACGTCCGCTCTCGGTGCGCGGGCATTGACGAGTGGCATTGGCTACCGGTTTGTGCGAGAATCAGTAAGAACAAGCTCCAAGACGACAAGTTCTATACTGAATCTTGAGAGCAAGGTGACATGCAGTGGTCAAGGGCAGGATGTTGTTGAACTTCTCTTGATGGTTTCTCCAGGTGCTGTGTAGCGAGGTTGGCTCCTGCCCACTGATGGATGTACTGTGTTCCTGGGTATTTGCAATTATCAGCATCAAGCAGAACTTGTGATGACGGATGCATTGTAGTCGTAGTGTCCTTTTTGTTCCCTACACAAGTCCTCGTTGAGGGCTCCAGTAGACTTCTAGTCTTGACGCGGAAGCCTCCAGAGTTAGATTGTTCGTCCATGCAGCTGTCTGACGGGTGTCCTCCAGGTGCCTGAAGAACAGGCAAAACTCATATGACTCATATGCTTTCTTGTGCAGGAGTGTTTCTGGGAGCTTTGCAGCAATGACTACTGCCACTCGGGCGTGAGCGGTGGGGGGTGGCAAAGAGGGAACTGCGATGTGGTCCACCGAGCGCGGTGCCAGCAAATCAGCATGTGCAGTGTTATAGTCAGGTGCCAGCAACGGGTGGAGGTGCTTGTTTCAATCATGTCTAAACCCACAAAAATATATGAACACCCAGGATGCCGGTTGCCGGTGGCTTCTACCATCCTAACTATATGTATAATTCTCACCTGCTATAGTAGCTCCTGCAGGCATTTTGCGCCTTTTTTTGCCTATGCATAGCACTATGCTGAAATTTCAGCCAGAGGTTGAAGATGCATCATTTCTGTCTGTAGGCAGTTTCTTTTCCCTTCAAAATTTATTGCCAGTGATTGTGCTTCTTGTTGTTTGCCTGTTTCCTGGTATGTTTGCCTGTTTGGTGGGTCGACCATGTTTCATCCACGTGATCGATCACGCTTTTCTGATCGACGCCACCCGAGGCTTTCAAGCCAGCACCTACCGGAACGAGCCACTCGGTGACTACTTGACCCTCCGGGGCTACGTGCAGGCGACGAGCATCGCACGTCGTCAGCGGCGGCTCTTGAGCGCGCCCACGGCGAGCCAGTCGTCCATGGTGTGCGGATGGCCGATGGGGATCGAGCTGTAGGTGAGAAACACTCCAACGAACAGAGGGACGTGGATGGTGACATCCATGTAACCAATCTTTGTGAGTCAGAGTGTGTGAAAGATGTGAGGTTTCTTTTCAGATGGCATTTGTGGGCCTTGGTGGGGGGTTGATGGTTCCTGGCAACTCTAAATTTAGTGGTTGAATCACATGGGTGGCTGATCATAGGGGCATAACTCATGGGAAGTAGCTAAGTAGTAGTTGCACATGAACCAGGACCAACAGATTCAGTGATCCCAACTGCTAGCTCACATGGAATTCTGGGGAGGATTTGCTGAAGGCAATTGACTGCACCTGTGAAACAAGTCTTCCGGACTTCCTCAGGAATCAAACAAGTTCGATGGTGCAGAACACAAGAGTGCTTGAAGAACCCCCATTTGGGACGCGAGTTGATCTATCATGAAGTATCAAACAAAAACATGTTTCTCCCATGCATCTAGTGCTCGTTGGCTTTTGACATCGCCACATGCATCCGCTTTCTCTTTAAGGTTGTTAAACTACTTAAAGCCTTCCAACACATTTGCCAGCATCCTGCAGACTCAGGGTCGCAGCAGCAGACATCCCAATGAACAATTCTTCATCTCATCGATAGCCTCTTGAATTTGGTTGATTGATTCATAGAGGGGATACCCTGAAGTGAACAGCCAATTAATATATATATATATACATATATTGTGTACCTGCATCGACCCCTCTATTCCTTGTTTCCCCGAAAGGGCATCGGATGCATCGGCAGCGCATCTCGGTGCAGGAGTTCATTGTCTTCCCTCGACGGACACTGCAAACGAACTTCGATGATTGCAAGTCCTGTTTGCATTTGTACGACCATGTCCACTGCCACTCGGCTCGATCATAATTAGCCAGAAAAGCATGGGTTGAAATGTTGTAAGGCCCAAAGGGGGCTTCAAAGGTTGAATTTCCCAAGGTCCAATGCTCCGTATGTCATCCGCGTTTCGGGAGTGCCGATTGAACAGACGATCCCTAAATCACTTTCTGGCGGGAATGTTACTGTATTACTTGTGAACCTAGAAGCCCGGCAAGTAGTGAGTGATTCTTCCAAGAAAGCGGACAACTTGTGCCTGATTCCTATACGTCATTGGCAGCAAGCTACTTTCCCACGTTTGAGCTGTTCATTCACCACTCTTCACGGATCATATGCTTTGAGGTACTGAGCTTGCCTTTAGCCCACCAAGGGTACATTTAAACTGTGGGATGTGTTACATTTGTCTTGTATATGTTGGTTTGATCCTCTGTGGGGTGGTGATGCCATATTAGTAGGTCAAACATCCCTTCCAAAGGATGCACCACCTTTTGATAAAGGTGTTTTGGTTCCTTTGGGGGTCATTTTCAGGCGGTGACTAGCGGGATGAGTGTTTGGACCACGTGAAAGCACAGAAACTGTTTTGTCACACACAATGTTTATATTGTGTTGCAAGGAGTGTTCGATGTCCAACCAAACTAGAGTAGTGTTCGTTAACTAGAGTGATGTGTATGTTTGTTGTTCCTTCATGGGAAGTGGGCAGAACTGACCAACCTAGAGATGACATCAATGGAAGCATCCAGTCGGGCGGTCCAAAGTATTGATTTCCAAATTGTTTGACCCATTGCTTGTCTCTTGCAGCTTCATAAGAGCGAGGGTTTGGTCAAGACTTGAAACTGGTATAAACTAGGAAGTTTGAAGTTGGCACGGGTTGTTTATGTCTTTTCTTCCAGACCTGGGACATGCAGGTGGCAAGTCGGGAGAACAAAGAGACTTGTGATGGGTTGACATAGGTTGTGTCAACCCTGACCAACGACCGCGCAGTGCTTTCTTTCCACGCATGCTCCAGGTTTGCATCAATGTGGCAACCCAGCCACTCAGCAGTGAAAGCTTCGGGGACCAAAAACGGGGAGTTAATGGTTGCAAGGACCTGAAGGGAACACAAAACGCACTGAAATCCCCTGAGACCCCGAATGTGGAGGCTGCATGTTTGACGGTGGAGGCTGTACTGCACCGCTCTCGGGTGCCGTGTGATGTTCAGGGATTGCCCTTGCTCCAAGTGATGTATTTGGATAAACCAACGAAAACACGATCGTGAACAAACTACGGTG